AGTCAGCACAGCAAAACCAAAGTAAAAACAAGTGTTGGAGCACATATGAATGGGTATAGGCAAATTGGTATACAGATAGGTACAGGTTTGTACATAGGTAAGAACAGATAGAAGGATCTATAGATTTGTGTAAATACAAATATGTGACTGCAGTCACATATGCTTATTGAACACACAAATATGAATACTCCCCAGACAGAATCAAACACCTTCAAACATTGGTCCTCTGAATTTGAAGGCTTTGGACTTTAATAGGACAACTCAGCCAATTGGCATAACATAGTTCATGAAAATCATGATCTGCATCCTAGTGACGTAGTAGTGTGTGGGGTTTTAAAGCTTGTAAGCAGACATCTGAGGCAAAACTATAGGTCTTTCCTTGCCAAGAGCAAAACAGGAAGGTAACCAAAAGCTCAGACAAGAAACAAGTCTACATGAGGCACAACCTCATTTACCCCAAGACTAGAAGTAGATGGTGCCTAGCTATGACAACTGGAGTCACAATAGTTGGTACCATATAGAATGGTAGAAAAATATGGGGCAGAACTCAAATTCCTATTAAAAAAAAAAAAGGCCAAACAGAATTAGTAGAGAACAGACAACTCCAGGAGGCTATTGCTCTGAGACACTCTGTAAAACTAGAACTGAGCCTACTCGCCAGGTCACCTTCTAGCAAAACAGCAGACTGGCACACAAAATAAAAGATATTACCCCTAAGATCAGTGCCCTACTGAAAAACCATCAGTAGGAAACCAAAAGGTCAATAACTACTCAGAAGCAAAGATGAGGAGAGAAGGGGACAGGGAAACTAGATTACTGGAAAGGGAACAAACTGACCAAAATTAACAGAATATTAATACACTGTATTAAATGTAACTAATGTCCCTGAACAATTTATGTGGAAATTGTCAAATAGGAACCTAACTTGCTGTGTAAACTTTCACCAAAAACTCAATAAAATTCTTTTTTAAAAAATTCATTTGTCTTAGAACTTAGATGATGTAAGTCCTTCAATCAGTGCTGGAGCTCATAATATAGGAGGATAATTCAAAGTTGCCCTCAGAAAACATAGACTCAAGGGTCCTTTGCTTCTGGAGTGTGCCAACTCTGGCTCTCTAGAACTCAAAGGCCTTCTCCCTTTCTTGCTGTAATCTAGACATGGGAAGTAGACTATTGGGTTTTAGGAGATTATATACCAGAGTCATAGGTCATAAGCACTCTTAGACACAATGGAAAATAGAACACCTCACCTGTCTGTCTGATGTCAGCTCCAGTTGTTTGTTTATTCCATTGTGCAGCACTCTTTCATACTTGAGATTTTTCTGTTCTTTCCAGACTGATTGTAATACCTTAATGCTGTATCTTGGAACTAAAGAGCTTTCTAATGACAGCTAGGCTCTTTGGAGTTCAGATGCATATTTAGAGGGATGCTAAGTGGGTAGAGACAAGAATTGATTTTGGGGAAGGGAAAGGCATTATACCAAAAGCAAGTGACCAACACAATGACACTAAGGAAAAGAAAGACCCAGAGAGGTGCAGAAGAGACACAGACAACAAGGAAAAAGAAAAGCAGGATGGGAGATAATGATAAAATACTGCAAAGATGGTGTTCCTTCGAGAACTCTGTTATTTGTCAGACCAGCTGCACAGTATGGGTCTCAGTTGGCATCAGGGTGGGCAAAAGAAAAGATGCATACAATTTAGTAATATATGAAAACAGCGATTTGGAAGGTACATTTTTAGTGGACTTTTATTAAATATGCTCCCTTTTCCTCTTTGGTTATCAACCTGTGTACATTCAAACCATGATGTTGCTGATGCTGTATGTAATGAAAGGGTAAAATCAGTGAGAAAGTGGAAGTAGAAGATTGCTTTGGCTTGGAGAGATGTGGCATATGGTGGCACTATATGGGTTAGGCATACAGTACATTGGTCAAAAGAACAACGTGGGGCCACACAGAATGACAGCAACCTGCAACCAGTGGTCCATTATGTGAAAAAGAGATGGCATATAGAAAAGGAAGGCTGCCACTCTTCCCTAAGAATTCACATTGATAAGAAATAATTAACATTATTTAGAGTACAGTTTGGGGCTATGAAAAAAAAAAATCCTGTATTTTGTGTGTGTGTGGTGGGGAGGTTGGTAGTATATGTTGGTGTGTATGTGTGTGTTATTCAATTTGTAGCCAAAGAAGTGTCCAACTTCTGAATGTGATGCCTTCTTCTACAACCATGGAGAGTGAGCACCAAGTTCAATGAATGGATTCTGGGAGCTGTTCACTGTGGCAATAGTAAGAGTTGGACATTAGGAGAGGGGGAAAATGACCTTTCTGTTTGGTAAAATGAGACCTGTACTGGGTCATGCAAGTTGGTATAAACATGCAAGTTGGTATAAACTGGGAAGGCAAGTTGGTATAAACCTTTCAGGAAGACTTTTGGCAATGCATACGTTGTGGTTGTATGCTATCAAGTCAATTCCAACTCATAGTGAACGCTATATGATAGAGTAGAATTGCCCCATGGAGTTTCCTAGACAGTAGTATGAATAGCCTTAGAACAGTTCGAGCTATTTGACAAAGTCCTTTATCCTAAAGAATCAATCAAATCATAAATGTGGAAAAATTTTATTCATAAATATGTTCATTGCATTACATGGAAAAAAATGCCACATTGTCATTTAGGATAAGCAAACCATGAATACCATTAATAATATGAAACAATATCTATAATATCTATGATATTATGTTGTTGTTATGATACTACAGCTGTGTAAAAAAGTTAAAACCTGTGCCTAGAAAATGAACACAGGAATGAGATTTTTTTTTAAAAAAGGTAAAAAAAAATTCAGGTCAGAAGTATAAAAACTTATGCAGCTATTCCTAAAAAAAAAAAAAAATCAGAGAGGTTGTAGTTATTAATGTAATATTTATTGTATTGTTTCATTATAAATGTGGGAAGTTGCCATAAAGGTGGGAAATTGCTCAACTCAGGTTAAATTTGACATTGATCTCATACCTGTGCTGATATCTTCCTGGCAAGATTCATGCATAGAAAGTCTAAAATGTTTATTGGTGTTTTGGAAGAGTAATATATCTTATTATCTCATCCTTGAAATCTGAAAATAACAATGTTGTGATACTGAACCATAACGATAGTCTATGACAATGAGAAGCAAACCATCCAGGGGCCCAAAGTGAATGATGACTCACTTGGTGACATCCCTGAGTTCTGTGTCATTTGTATGTAGGAGCTCTGGTAACATAGTGGCTAAAGCACTTGACTGCTAACCAGAAGGCTGGCGGTTCAAACCCACCAGCCACTCCTCAGAAGGAAGGTTGGGCAATCCTACTTCCGTAGTGATACTGCCTCGGAAACCCAAGGAGGGGTCGCTATGAGTCGGGGCCGACTCGACGGCACATAACAACAACAACAACAATTGTTAATTTATTCTGTACCTTGATATCCAGACTTATTTAAATGACTACATACTGAAAGGTACATAAATTCGGAAAAGAAAATAAAAGAGAATCTAAATTAAAAAACTGTAAGGGAAAATAAATAGACAATGGATTTGGAAGGTACAAATAATGAAGACCTAGAATAAATGATATGTGAAGTGAAATTGCTAGCCATGTAAAAACCATTCACAACATGACATTCCTCTCATAGTTAAGGCCTACATAGCAACATTTTAGCATCTCTGTGGTATCACAAAGATTAAAGATTTATATTTTAGCTAGGTTACTCATATCTCCACCAAATTTGAAACCTCTACTCGGTCATATAAAATTAGTAATTTTGTTCTGGGGAAAAGATAAAATGCAGAAATCATTGAAGTAAGATATTTGAGTTCTTCTAAATTTCATTTTTGCCTCGTTCTCTCTTATTAAGAAATATAAACACGATTAGGTCGGTAAAGATAAATGTAGCCCACTTTATTACTTGCCTGGTCACCACATGGGATGAGATGTGGATGTTAATAACCTTAGAAAATAATAAAACTCCATTTTAAGTGGTCTGTACTTAAAATCGCACTGCATTAAATGGACATAGAAAATGGTAATTTAGGGCTTAAATCTCTTGAGACTTTTGGCAGACTTTTTCTCTCTCTTTTTTTTTTAAAGTACCCCCCCAAATTGCTGAAAACACAAAATCCATATCAAGTTTATCATTTGCCAAATCATATCTTAATGAGTGGATGGTGTAATTACAAGAGTTTGAAAGTCACAGAGAGAAGGCTGTAGAGGGGACTAATCACATTCGACTGACAAATGATTTGGGATGGGAGAATGTCTGACTCTAAATGGAGAATTTAATGATCTGCAAGGTCCCAAAGTCCAAAGAAACTAATGAACTAGCTTAGCTATTGTTAGTCTTCATATGCCACAGTTCTTGTCCTATTGTGTAGGATGTTTTGAATAATTGTTAACTCACTACTTTTGGAGATGAAACACAATAAAACTTCAGCTAACCAATACCCAAAGTCCTATGATTGACTTTGCAGAAAAATGACATATGGCAAGCAAGTAAGTCAACCTCGTGAAACAGAGGAACAGATCAAAACTTCAGCAGCTTTTAGAATGGGTCATGCCTTCAATAAACTTTCAGCTCAGTCTCCGCGTGGTCAGCGTTGACATCTTTGCATGCTGAAAATTGACCATCCCGTGTGGATCTAGAAAACCATTGCTAGAGGTTCCGCCATCATGGAAACACTAATGTTCCATACACTCTACATGGAAATGAACACGGATTCATTATTACAGAATGACAGGATTGAATTTATGGTTAAACTAATACAAATTAGGAATTAATGATTAGCAATAACATATCTCTCTCTCTTTCTCTGCCGCTCTTGTTCCCTTGACAGTGTGATCAGTTGAGATTTAGGGAGCAGAGTCATGACTTTGTGTGCCCTCTGCCCTCGAATTTGGACTGAGCATGATCCTAATCGAACATTAGCAGCATCTCATCCTCACCATGTGCTGTGTTTTTGTTACCAGATTATTCAGGACAGAATATTCAAGCACATATCACGTAACAGTTTAATATGGAACAAACATCCAGGAGGATTGTTCGTACTACCACAGTATTCATCTTATCTGGGAGATTTCCCTTACTACTATGCTAATTTAGGTAAGTGGATTCCTTCTAGGGACCTGCCCTTGTTTACCCTCAATGTATTGTGTGGGATAGAAGCCCCTTGATTCTTCTGTTCTCTGGTGGGGGTCTTCCTAGCAGCCTCCAGTGGAATTGCTTTCTGGAGCCATGTCATAAATAATACTCCAAGTTCAAGAACTGAAAATCCAGCATTACAAAATGAAAAAAAGTCCTTTCCCATCTGAATAGCTGTATTTTATATTTAGTTATTTTATTTTATATTTAGTTCTTTTATTTTAGAAAACTGGGCTCCCCAAAAAATGGATCATTTTGAACATGGAAGTGGGTTCATTATAATTTTCAGTCTCATCATATATAAAATCAAATTAGAAGAGCTCTTTTAACTATTTTTCACAATCCCAATTTCTTGATTCTTTAGCAAAGGAAAACTAATAAGGGAAAAAGAGAAAGAACTAGAACTCTATGACAAGAGACTAATTTATTAATTCATTCAACATTTCCTGTGCTTCTCTTATGTGCTCTACTAGGTACTAGAAGTAACAAAATCAAGTAAGATACAGTCTCTGCTCTCCAGCAGCAGTTGATGTGGCAAAAAGACTCAAGATCTCCATAATAGTCTCAATGTTTTTCACAATGTACAAGTTTAGTTTGAAACTGAGAAGATGAAACCTAACGAAATTCGTGCCCTATAGTAGCAACCAGTGACAAAGAACGCTTTAATCCAAACTAAACAAAGCATGATATGAGGACCCTGTCAAAATCAGTGATCTGTCTACATTGGGTAGTGTACTTAGAGTTTAGTGAATTAAGTCAGTGATTCATAAAATATCTACATATTTGTTATAGAATATCTATACTATTTGGACTTAACCCATTAGAAATGTATAAATAATACTTCTTAAAATATTATAGGAATATGTAATAGTGTGACTTATCCTCACTGTTAATAAAAAGGCAACTTCTTAGTAATATTTATTCATCTTCCTTGAAAAAGCCTGGAATATGTATCTAGATGGTGCTATGGTTAGCTTCTAACATACAATTAAAGTGCCAATTGGAGGATGAAATTTGCCTCACAAAACATTTATATAATCCTTTTACACCTTTATCCCATCAATATCAAAGCTTAACTTGAATGTCCCTACACTTTCTTGTTCACACTTAAGCTACTAAAATGCCAAATTAGTGGGGTCTAAACTAATTAAGTTTTAAAAGGCTTTTTAACCTTTCTCTAATTTCTTACTGAGATCCTCTGGGAAAACTCACTGGGGAGAAGCCATCTCACTTAGATTTCTTTAGTGGCAGTGATTATTTTACATACTTATACCTTTCAAGGAGCCCTGCCCTTGAAGTGAGACATCAAAGAAACTTCACCATGGGAGGAAAAGCACTTGGCTGCAAACCAAGAGGTCGATGGTTCAAACCCACCAGCCTCTCTTCAGAAGAAAGATGTGGCAGTCTGCTGCCATAAAGATTTCAGCCTTGGCAATGTTATGGGACAGTTCTACTCTGTCCTGTAGGGTCACTTGCAGTTGAAATCAACTCGACAGCACAGGATGAGGATGAGACTTTGACCTCTTTCTGTTTAGGGTTCCAGAGTGCACAGTTGGCAGGCGTCTGAATCACATACTTTAACTTACAGCTGTGTGGTTGCTAAGGAACTCTGGTGGTGCGGTGTCTAAGGCATTTGACTGCTAACCAGAAGGCTGGCAGTTCAAGCCCACCAGCTGCTCCACAGAAGGAAGATGAGGCAATCTACTTTGGTAAAGATTTACTGCCTTGGAAACCCAGTGGAGGTCACTGAGTTGAAATTGACTTGATGGCAGCGGGCTGGGTGTGAGTGCTACACAAAGAAGACTCTTAGGAATATAAAGACTACCTCTCCAAAAAATGAATGAATGAGTGAGTGAAGATGATAATGATAGCAGCTAACGTATTTTGAGCTCTTATTATATGCCAAGTTCAATTCTAAGTGTTTTGTTAACTCATTTAATTCTCACAACCACCCCATAAGGTTGGTATTGTTATATTATCCCAGTTGAAGAAATTGGGGTTCAGAGAGTTAAGTAGTTTTCCCAAGATTCCAATCATCACTAAGTAGTGGAACTGGGACTCAGACCTAGACAGTCTCTGGATGCTGTTTTTTAACGTTCCCCACTTGCTGGTTACTATTTGGAATAGGATTAATCAGGCAAAACCCCTTTAATTACATCATTAAGAATTTGACACACGCAAATACCCTGGGAAAGGTAGCATGTTGGTTTAAATCTATACTAAGGTGTAAGTGATTAGAGGAGAAAGAGTCTGAGAATGTTGGAGTGGTATGTTTGTGTGAGTGAGTAGTGAGTGAGTGTACATGTGTATATGTGTGAAAGAGTGAGTGAGTGAGTGTGTATTTTGACACTGGGTACCTAAAAAGCAGGCAAGCGATCAAAGAAGCCTTACCACAGGAGGAAAAGGATGTCAGAGGTAGAAGCTGGGAGTGGACACTGAGCTGTAAATTATTGAGGTCTCTAGACTCTGGCAGCACTTAACTAGCAGCTTTTCCCCTTGTGTTTGTTCTGTCAGGACATAAGAGGCAATGGAAAAATACGCTAGAAGGCAACATGAGCTCCAGGGTGAGGCAGTGGAGCAAGGAAGAGTAATTTCTGAGTCTGGTTTTGCAGGACTTCATCAGCCTCCTGTGCTCTCTTTCTTTCAGGTGTAAAGCCCCCCTCCAAATTCACTGCAGTCATCCATGCAGTGACCCCCCTGGTCTCTCAGTCCCAGCCAGTGTTGAAACTTCTCGTGGCTGCAGCCAAGTCCCAGTACTGTGCCCAGGTGAGTGAGGGCCTGGCGGAGCAGCACCTGCCTTCTCCAACTTGGGGTCTGGATCCTGTGCACTCCCTACCCATTACAGCCTTGTCTCCCCAGAACTTATCTAATGCCGTGCCCTGGTATTCTCTTTTCATTTGTCATGGCCCGTTAAACCCTTTTCATCAGCTTAGAGGTCTTTGGAAGTGAAATCTGACAAAGTAAATGGGTGCATTATAGAGACACCTTTGCATTGGTGAAAGGTCAAGAAATATATAGAGACTTAACCTGCTCTCTACAGACTATAACGTGTTGTTTTGTTGTTAAATGTCAGTGTGACAAAGTAGCATCAGAAGCGCCATTGGGCAGACCCAAAAAGCTAAGTTTTAATCAAGGAACAAACTTAACTAATTTGCCAAGTGGCACTTTTCTTTCACAGCAACTATGACTAATTATAAAACAGGGAGCAGAAGATTCTATCTATGGTAACCATCTTCTCCAAACCAGTACTGCTCCCACACTCTAACAGTGGTTTTTCTGATTTGTGCATTAGTTTACAGGAGATTTATAAATGAGAAAAGAATTAAATCATGTTGAAGTACACACATTGTTGAACCAAAGGGCTTTATTGGAAATAATAAAATTATGTAAAATCGGCCACCAAACTAGAGATTCCAAAACATGAGCTCATCCTATTTCTTTCTTGAATTCCTTTATTCTTCTGTCTTGCTTGGGGTACCACTGGCTCATAGCAGATGTTCAGATGTTCAGTATACATTTTTACTTAATTTGATCCAAGTTGTTATCTCACTCATCATAAGACATGAAACTTTAGGAAACCACTCATTAAGAACCAGGAGCCCTGAAATGACTTCTTTTTCCTTCCCTTCCCTGACCCCATTGACCCAACAGTTTTTTTAGGTTACTCTTTTTCGCCATCTCTCTCTATTTGTTGAAATGATAAGGTTCTGAAGGATGTATGGGAGTGGACTCGCTTTCACGTTCAGGTTTGATGTCTGCCATTCCACCTTGCTTACATCCCGTCTCCTCTCTCTTTCTCTGTGTCTCTCTCTGAGAAGAGCCTATGGGTTGGAGGCCTACATCCAGCCATACCAAGTCATCTAATGATCTCCTGTCCCTTTCAGATCATAGTTCTGTGGAATTGTGACAAGCCCCTACCAGCCAAACACCGCTGGCCTGCCACTGCTGTGCCTGTCATCGTCATTGAAGGAGAAAGCAAGGTAGGACTGAAGGGAAAAGACCACAGTGGAATTGTGTTTTTCTGTGGGGGCCCTTAGGATGTTGATCCTAGACGTTTTTTCCCTGCCTTCAGGAGCTGCTCCTGCCAAGGAGCTCTGGTGACGCAGTGCTTAAGGCGTTTGTTTGACTGCTAACCAGAAGGTTGCTGGTTCAAAGCCCCCAGCCACTCCGCAGAAGGAAGATGAGGCAATCTACTTCCATAAAGATGTATCACCTTGGAAACTCAATGGGGATTGCTATAAGTTGGAATCGACTTGATGGCAGTGGGTTTGGATTTTTTTTTGTTGCTTATAGGAGCTGCTAGCCATGGATTACGTTTTCCAAAACTGTATTTCACTCTGAATTTCCTCAACTTTGAAAGCTACAGGCTTTCAAATTAGGAAAACTTGGATCCTAATTCTAACTCTTTAGGAACCTGTGACCTGACATATATTACTTAACTTCTTTGAGCCTCAAAATGGAAATAATAACATATACCTCATAGGATTGCTATTGAGATCAAATGAATTCAGAGCCTAACAATAGTTTAAAAAAAAAAACTCACTGCCGTCTAGCCAATTCCAACTCACTGTGACACCTCCTTGGGTTTCCAAGGTGGTATCTCTGCAGAAGCAGATTGCCCAGTGTTCCTTCTGAGGAGTAGCTGCTGGGTTTGAACTGCCAGCCTTCTGGTTAGCAGTCAAATGCGTTAGGCACTGCACTACCAGAGCTCCCTAACAATAGTCCGCATTCCATAAATGATTAAGATGCGCATGAGGCTGACCATGACAGTGGTGATGCGTGAGGCTGGCTTAGTTGATTAATATGAATTGGTTGTGTCTTTGAGAATCGTGGTTCTTCCTCACATTTAGCTTAGAAAGGATGTTTTCACCTTAATTTTGCTTTGGTGTCTCCATCAAAGACTCTCACGAAGTTTTCCTACCTGCCTTGCTTCCATTCTCCAGTCTGTTTTGTGTAGAGCTGAGTAGTCTTCCTAACCATTTCGTAGCCCTTTATGGACCCCATTTGCTAATGCCTTCAGTTGGCATCCAAGGCCATGTATAAGCTGGCATGGCTAGCCTTCCCTCTCTCTCATTGCTCTTCCCACAGACCCTATCCTGTGACCAAGTTGGATCACGTACAATTACTTGAATTACCCCATGCCCCTTCCTACCTCTAAGTTTTGTTGATTTCATTTGCTTTAAGTCTTGGCTACCTCTCCTCAACTCTTTGTCACTGTCAATATTCCCATATTCTTTAAGCTTTTGTTCACATGCTACCTCCTCCTTGAAGTTTCTTCTGCTGTTCACAGCAAGAGGCGAGCTCTTTTACCTCCCGCTTCTGCTTATTGCTTTCTCATGGGTTTTATCCATTATAAAGAAATCAGTCACTACTGAAGGAGCTCTGGTGATGTAGTGCCTAAGGCATTTGACTGCTAACCAGAAGGCTGGAGGTTCAAACCCACTAGCCACTCATCGGAAGGACGATTGGGCAATCTACTTCCATAGTGATACCACCTCAGAAACCCAAGGAGGGGTCGCTATGAGTTGGGTCCGACTCCACAGCAGTGAGGTTTTTTTTTTTTTTATAAAGGAAACTGGGCATGGTGAAGCAATGCCATCTAAGAGAGGCCTTGAGAGAGACTGTTGTTGTTAAGTGCCGTCGAGTCAGCCCCGATTCATAGCGACCCCTCCTTGGGTTTCTGAGGTGGTATCACTATGGAAGTAGATTGCCCAACCTTCCTTCCGAGCAGTGGCTGGGGGGTTTGAACCACCAGCCTTCTGGTTAGCAGGCAAGTGCCTTAAGGCACTATGCTACCAGAGCTCCCTGAGAGAGACTAGTTCACACTAAGTAAATCAACTTTGAACCCAAGTTAGCTACCAGAATGTGAAATAACAATTTATTGTTATTTCATTTGAAATCACCATTAGACTTCTCCATTTTCACATAGTTTAACCAAAGGTGCGAGGAATGTAACTGTCACATGGACATGTTACTGAATTATTGATTCAGTTTCAATTTATGAGCACCTATCATGTGCCAGGCACTGTCCAACATTCTTGGGATGCAGTGGGTATATGGCAAATATAGTCACAGCATTCTTGGGGCTGGAGTCAACCCACAGAGAGCTGCTTGGTAAACATTTAATGAGAAAAGGCAGGAGCTGGAATAATCACATGTCTCCTGGTTTAAGTCTTACCCTTGTAAATCCATCTCATCATGGGAGTGGTTTCAAGAGACAGACACACAGAATAATCTCATAGAAATCCTTGTGTCCATTTGCCCTGTAGAGGAGCCTGCCTTGCATCCACAGGGTTCTGATTCCAGTGCTTAAGTCCTGAGCACAGTGCTTGAATGGAGGCTGTTAACTGGAACTTGGGGATTTTGTTTGTTTTAGGCTTCTATACTGATCAACTCTCTTTCTGGTAGATCTGTCTTTCTGTAAACATGTTTCAAGATGTTCAGACATGATCTAGGATTGTCTGGGAGCCCTTCTGACCACTTTAAACCAAAAACCAAACCCACTACCGTTAAGTCAGTTCTGACTCATAGTGACCTGGAGGGGCAGAACTGCCCCATAGGGTTTCCAAAGCTATAAATGTTTATGGAAGCCGACTGCCTCCTCTTTCTCTCACAGAACGGCTGGTGGATTTGAAATGCTGACCTTCTGGGTTAACAGCCCAGCACTTAACCACTCCACCACCACGGTTCCTTCAGACCACTTTACCAAAACCCACTGCCATTGAGTTGATTCAGAATCACAGAGACCCCTATAGAGTTTCCAAGGCTGTAAATCTTTACAGAAGCAGACTGTTATCATCTTTCTCCCACGGAGCAGATGGTGGGTCTGAACTGCTGACATTTTGGTTAGCAGCCAATGCTTTAACTATGATACCACCAGAACACTTTCTTTAGACCATTTTAGGTAGTATTAAATCTTTATACTCTGGCATACTGTTGTCATTTTATAATTGGATTCTTAGCTCACTGCCTCAGTTTCTCTGTTTATAAAATGGTGACAATAAGAATTGTCCCTTTCTCATAGAGCATGTCAGATACCTCTTACGAGATACCTCAGATTCTCCCAGCTATCTCCTGGTTCCTGGCCATTTGCTCAACCACTGATTCCGTGGGCCATGTGGTGTCTGTGTGTTTTCCTCACTCTTGCTGTCCTAGGATTGCAGCACCTAGTGAAGCATTTGTGCTTAAGTCTTGTTTCGGGCTCTCTACTCTCGGGAGCCTGGGCTAAGATAGGGCCCATTTTGAGGACTCAATGAGATATTTCATGTCAAGTGCTTAGTCCAAGGTTGATTATACACCAGGGGTTCAATAAATATCAGCTACTCTTATGGGAGGTACTACAATGTTATGTTTTGAGTTGTAGGATCTAGAGTCAGACTTGCTACTTCATTGTAACCCAAGGTGCCTCACTTCTCCCTTCAGTTAAATGGAAATAATCTAGTACCTACCTGGTAGGATTGCTAGAGTCACTGGAGATGCGAATGGTTAACACGCCTGGCTGCTAACCGAAAGACTGGAGGTTCGAGTCCATGTAGGGGCACCTCAGAAGAAAAGCCTGGCCATCTGCTTCCAAAAATCAGCCATTGAAAACCTTGTAGAGCACAGTTCAATTCTGCCACACGTGAGGTCACTATGACTGGAGCACAGTTCTACTCTGATACACATGGGTCACCATGAGTTGGCATCAACTCAATGCCAACTGATTTAGTTGGTAAAAGGATCAGATTATATGATACTTTACATGTATAAAAGTTCTTAGAAGAATGATTCACATAGTAGGTGCTCATTAAATGTTAGCTGCTACTGTGCTTTGTATAATTATTTGTTTACATTTCTTATCTTCCCCACTAGACAATCAACTTTTTGAGCCCTAGCCATTTCCTAGTCTTGTTTGTTAATTCTAGAAGAATTTGGGCTGGTGCATGGCAAATAAGTTTCTTGAATACACTACCAAGGGAAACCCAGCTGGGATTTCTTATGTGCTAATCCATTCAACTTTTGGAAGGTAGCTGGGGCAAAGTATGTGGAAGAAACTCTCTAGTCTTTATACCGAATTTAGAAGTGGTTGGCATAGGTGCTCTTCACCTGTTGCTGAAGCAGGCTCCAAAGAAGGAAATGGGTTCTTTTAAAGTCAGCAGCTGGGCAGGTGGTGGGGTATTTCCTCTGCATTCCCCATTGTAAAATCCCTGTATCTAGCACTGAATTTAAAATTGATGTGTTCGCTGCTTTGGCTGTGAGATTCCATTTTGGATTTATAGGTCTTGTCTCTGCAGTTTTCCCCCATAGGCTTAACAAGAGAAAGGTCAGGGCACTGCTAAGCTGATGGTTTCTGCGTCAGTCACTGGACATGTAAACAGTATCAGGAGAATTGCTTCAGGCTGAGATTTTGGAGCACTATGTATATGGGATTGCAACCACTTTGTGTTTTATTTCCAAAGTCTGAGAAAAACAAAAAAGACAGACCCAGTTGACAGATGTGTAGGAGCTGCCCTTAAAGCCATTTAGGCTGTAGACACATCCAAAATGCGTAGCTACCCAAAATGCGTTTATAGCAAGCACATTCTGTTCTTTAATATCATAAGGCTTCTAGCAGCTTCATAGGCATGCAAACGGGTTCGGAGACGACGCCTATGGATGAGTTGGATTCTTGATGTCAGTGCTGTTTGGGCTGCCTTTAGGGATGCATAGATGTGTGCAGGCTGGTCTTCTGGCAGCCAGGCTTAGGTGTCCCCACACCCTTTCCCTTTGTCTCTAGTCGTCACCTGCTTCATTCCTCATTCCTTTGTACCTTGAAAGTCAAAAGCACATAGATCTTTCCTCACAAGACTCCAACTGTGAATCCAGAGAGGATGTTATAACCAGTAATATATAATGGCCAGAGTTATATTGCCAGATTTAACACCCCCCCCATCCCCTTGTGAGGTCCTTTCCGACCCTGGGACATAGTGGTCAAGGTAATGTGCAGAATCACACCATCTGGAATGAAATCCTTAACCTCTCTGTACCTCAGTTTCCTCACTTATGTAAAGAGGTTGTTGTAAAGATGAAGTGAAATGATATCCATAAAGCACTTGGAACACTTCCTGCCCCCCCCCCTTCTTTTTAAGATTTTGAGTTTTCTTCCACATTGTTCTCCCACTGTGTCCAGGATCTCCTACAGGGATCCCCCCGCCCCAGTGGTTGACAGTGGTAGCCGGGCACCATCTAGTTCTTCTGGTCTCATACTCGTATAGGCTGAGGATCGCATGGTGTACCGGTCACTTAGACTAATCATGGGAAGATAGCTTCTTTACCTGTGTCCTTCCTTTGATCTGCAGGAGACCTCACACATAATAAAAAACAAAAGAAACTAGCTGCTCTCTAGTAGGTTGCAACTCATGATACTCATGGTGCATCAGAGTAGAATTGGGCTCCATTGGGGTTTCAATGGCTAGTTTTTCCAAAGTAGATTGCCTGGCCTTTCTTCTGAGGCACCTGAGTGGACTCAAACCTCCAACTCTTTGGTTAGCAGCTGAGACCATTAGCCATTTGCACCACCGAGATACCCCTGGCATGCCCATAATTGTTGAACAATGACTCTGCTCCATTGGAAAATGGTAGTCTTTCAATGTTGAGGGAAGACACGGTAAGAGAGATTCTTTATGAAGGTAGGGAAGATGAGAGAATTTTCCTGAAAACAAGACTCAGAATTTACTTTTCTTTTTCCTTCCTCTCACCCCTCTGCCTCTACCTTTCTACTTCCCCTTCAGGTTATGAGCAGCCGTTTCCTGCCCTATGATAACATCATCACTGATGCCGTTCTCAGCCTGGATGAGGACACCGTGCTCTCTACCACAGAGGTAAGGGCCCTTGCCTGAGCAGTGGGCAGGCAGGCTCTTCAGTAGTTGCCCCAAACCCCCAGGTGCCAGTGTTTTCCCTTGCTGTTGCCTTGGCTCAGTGGGAAACATTTTTCAAAACTTCTGTGCGGTAGGTTATAATCAACCCAATTCCTGTTAGCACCTTGCCACCACCTGGCACCCGGATGAGGGCATTTTCCCCTTTTGTTTTTTCTGCTAATTGGCTCATTTGCATGGCCATGCCTCATCTCTCCCCTCCTGCCAGCCCTCCTTTCTTGTTGTTACACAGCACAGGTGTGCAGAGCCAAGGTGGGTGTGTGTGTGTATTGGGAGGGTGGGTAGCATCTGGTTAGCATTATCTTTTCACCGTGCAGTCCAAAGAAAAGAGGCCCACCCTTCCCCAGCTACTCTCATTCTGCCTGTGTGGTGCGTGTTGCCTCTCTTATGAACACTCTTCTTGGTTCTCAATGCAGACTTTTAGTCTCTGTTTAAGCACCTTTTTATTTTTTTCATCCTCATAAGAGCAATTGGTTTCACTTTAAGACTGAGATGGAGATCCGTGCTGTTTCAGATGTTCAGGTATTTCTGCCAAAAATAAGATAGCATGAAGAATGTGAGAGGAAGAGAGAGAAAAGACAGATATGGTAGAAAACCAATTTTTAGAACTCGAATGAGTATTGATCTTTGAAACCTTACTTTAAACCATACAGGGGACCAAAGACAGTTATATAAAAATGTACTATATCAGAAATACATTATGAATGTGAGCTGCTAAAAAGCCTGGAGGCTTAGCTACTCATACCGTCCCCGCCTCTTTCTTTTTCCCTTTTTATTGGTCATCATTTTCCTTTCGATTCCGTCATTGGCATCGGCACACACCAACATACACTGTCCTGGAAAGCCGCCTGATGCTTGCAGCCTGCATCCCACAGAGCCAGGACTCACTGTTGACTTCAGCTAGGAGTCTGCATGTCTCTTTCTTGCAATTCCATGGATGCTTCTAGTTTCCATCAGATGGTGTTGAGTCGATGTTACATTCAAGGACTACCTAAATAAGCACAGGACAGAATGCCCTGGACCTCACCTTGGTAGAACACGCTCTCTGTAGCCAGAGTGCTGTAAATTCTTGGTGAATGAATGATTGGGCAATGGATGCTGTGGGGATTAAAGCACGAACACACAGCCAATTGTGCCATGTGCATGTAGGCCAGAGAAAGATGCCAGGGGAGAAGATACATTCAATGTTCAAAAGGAAAGACAGTTATGAAATACAGGGTATGGAACATGCCAGGGTGCATTTTTTTTTTAAACTCCTTCCAGCAGGGGAAGTGGGCATTCCAGGAGCACGATCATTCAACATATATTTATTGAGGGATTTCTTTGTTCTGGTCTCCATGTCAGTGCTTTGGTTACACAGTTCCTGCCTGTATATCCTGGCAGGAAACAGAATTCAAATCAGATGATTCAGATAAAGTGATTTGGAATTACTAATGAAGGAGCTCTGGTGGTGTAGTGGTTAAAGCGTTTGGCTGCTAACTAAAAGATCGTTGGTTCAAACCCAGCAGCTGCAATGCAGAAGAAAAAGGAGGTGGTCTGCTTCTGTGAAGATTTACAGCCTTGGTAGCCCAGTAGATTGCTGTGAGTCAGAATCGACTCAGTAACAGTGAGTTTGGTTTTGGTTTGGAATGAAGGTGTGAATGGAGTTAGAACCAAAAAACCAAATCCACGGCTGCTAAGTCAATTCCAACTCATAGCAGCCCTATTAAACAGAGTAGAACTGCCCCCATAGGGTTTCCAAGGCTGTAAATCTTTACAGAAGCAGAAAGGCCACATCTTTCTCTCCTGCAGAGTAGCTGATGGGTTCAAATCACTGACTTTTTGTACAGTAGCCAAGCACTTTAACCACTGTACCACTAGGGCTCCTGAGTGGGATTAAACCAGACACAAACCAAACTCACTGCCATTGAGTTGATTCCAACTCATGGTGACCCCCTTTGGGTTTCCCCTTATGGAAGTAGATTGCCCCGTCTTCCTTCCTCAGAGTGGCTGGTGGGTTTGAACCGCCAGCCTTCTGTTTAGCAGTCAAATGCCTTAGGCACTATGCTACCAGAGCTCCTTGAGTGGGATTAAAAAGACCTACTATGGATGGTCAGGCACTTCGAGACTAGCAAGAGCAGGAAGCAGCTCCCACTCCTAAGCTTGAGGAGCAGGTCAAGGATGTAGTGTTTGCAAAATTCCCGAGGGCTGGAACTGGGCAGAAGAGGCTGCCCTACAAAATCATGGAAGGAAAAACATAGCTACTGCTGGAACCCTGGCTCCAAAGCAGGGAAGGAGCAGGGGGGCAAAAAAAAAAAAAAAAAAACTCTGACCTCTCTGCCCTCCCTCCAATTTCCAGCTGGTGACTCCCATTACTCTAACCCAACTAGACACCTGCAAGGAAGGCCTGGTGGTATTGTCCGTAGTGTTCCAACCTCTAAGGCCACAGAGCAGAGCAGAAAAAAGTAGGGAATGGAATCTGGGAGGCAAAGAGGTAAAGCAAGACATTGCCATGGTGGCATACCTTGGAATGTGTGGTCAAGATGACTACAAACTCGCTGCCATAAGTCGATCCCGACTCATTGCGACCCCTCCTTGGGTTTAAGGTGGTATCTTTATGGAAGTAGATTGCCCAGTCTTCCGAGGAGAGGCCGGTGGGTTTGAACTGCGAGCCTTCTGGTTAGCAGTCAACTGCCTCAGGCACTACATTTCCCCAGAGCTCCCAAGATGACTACAGTATACACCTAATCTTTGTGCAGTGAATGACCTGATACACTGGCTCTTTTTTTTTTTTTTTTTTTGAACTTTTATTGTGATGAAAACATACACAATGAGACATTCACCAACATCGCAACTTCCACATTTACAGCTCAAGGATATTGGTGACATTTTTCATGTTATGCCACCATTATTGCTATCCTTTTCCAAAATACTCTACCACCTAGTAGCCCTCCAAACAAAAGCTTCCCCTTCCCTTTCCATCCTACCCCTAGTAACTACTAATCTTTGCTTCCTCTCTCTCTCTCTCTCTCTCTATATATATATACATATATACTTTTTTTTTTTAACCCGTCTAGAAATTTTCCCTCCCCTCCGCTCCCTGATAACCAACAAGAAAGTTTCCTTCTAGGTATAAACCTTTCCTTGACTTTTTACAATAGTGGGCCAATACAATATTTGTTCTTCTGTGATTGACTTATTTCACTCAGCATAATGTCCTCCAAGTTCTGTTTTGCAGATTCTACATTATTCTTCAGGGTTGCATAGTATTCCATTTCATATATATACCATATTTGTTTATCCATTCCTCAGTTGATGGGCACGTAGGTTGTTTCCATCTCTTTGCTATTGTGAATAGTGCTGCGATGAACATGGGTGTGCATGTATCTGTTTGTGTCCTACCTCTTACTTCTTTATTATGTATATCTAGTAATGGGATTGCTGAGTCAAATAGTACTTCTATTTCCAACTTTTTGAGGGATCACCATACCGATTTCCACAGTGGTTGTATCATTTTACAGTCCCACCAGCAGTGTATGAGAGTCCCAGTCTCTCTACATCCTCCCCAGCATTTGTCATTTTCTGTCTCGTTGAACTTGCTATTAATGCTGGGATGAGATGGTATCTCATGATTGTTTTGATTTGCATCTCTCACCAGCCACTCCCCGCCAGGTAGACCAGGTCTTTTGGGAGCTCTGGTAGCGTAGTGCCTAAGGCACTTGACTGTTAACCAGAAAGCTGGAGGTTCAAACCCACCAGCCACTCCGTGGAAGGAAGGTTGGGCAATATACTTCCGTAGTGATATTACCTCAGAAACCCAAGGAGGGGTCGCTATGAGTCGGGCCAACTCGATGGCACATAACAACAACAATGGCTAACAATCATTAACACTTCTTCACGTGTTTGTTGGCTGTGTATCAGCTCATTTTATATCATCTCCTAGCACAAGACAATTAGTCTCACCCAAAGATTTAATTTTAACTATCCCATGATGAAATAACTTTCAGTTTCTGGGATGCTTCCTTGTGCTGGTGAATTTCTTTTCAAAGAACAGCAATTCCAAGCACTTAGTGCATGCTGGGAGGGACATGTGTTGTCTGTGAAGTAATTAGAAGGCGATATAAGTAGAAAATGATAGTAAATTTAAGAGGGCTGGCAGTCTAGTTTGCTTTTGTCCACTGATCAGCAGAGGATTGTGTTGTCTAAAATGGTTAAGGAAAAGGAATCTTTTTTTTTTTTTTTTTTAGGTGAATCACTGTTGGTTCATTTTGTTCCCCCTCTAAGGATTCTTGGCTTGTTTAAATGTCTCTGTAGTATTAAGGATAGATTTTTAAACAGCATCCTATAAAGGACATTAGATAGAGTTGGTTTAAAGTTATTTACATTTATCTGGGTTGCTACAAATCTTCAAAAGAAAACAGATGTTGGTTTTTAAGAGAAAAGGCGTAATCTGACCTTTGCCTCTTTTGATGTGTTAATGATCTGTGTGAAAGAGCTATTACAGGAATCCTAGTTTTATCTGAATTTACTTTTGAGTTCCTTTGAAAGGACTTGAAACAGCTTTGGGATAGTATGTGATGCAAACACCCCACCGGTTGGATAGTAGTTGCCAGTGCATGTGTTTTCTTTCAAAAAAGACTAGGAAACCCCAGCGAGTGCTGACAGCCACGCTGGTTCTTTCACGACAGCTGCATAATCCACTATCCTATCAGTTGGTGCCATTAGTATTGAAAGCCAGTGATAACGCGCAGGTTATCACGACCTGCTTTCAATTCTCTGGTAAATGCAGTCCACTCTTGTACTGTCTCACTGTCTCGCCACAAGGCGTTCTTAAAAGTATGTCCCTCCACCTTCTTTCTCTCCCCCACCCAAGATGTTATCTTGAAATAGGGTACCAAATTAGATCTTCCCTGCAAATGTGAATGTATGGTTGTCTGCTGAAATAGTGATTTCTAATGAAGCCCAAAGAAGTTGGAGGTAAAAGGACCCTTGAACCACTGTGGTGGTGCAAACAGTTAGTGCACTTGGCTGCTAATTGAAGGGTTAGAGATTCAGATCCATACAAAACACCTTGGAAGAAAGGCCTGGTGATACCTGCCCAAAGTTGGCCTTTGAAAGCCCCAAGGAGCACAGTTCCTCTCTGACCCATGTAGCGGTACCATGGGTCAGAACCATGCCAGTGGCAACTGGAACTACAAGACTATCACTTGGGCCAGAGTTTCCTAGAAGATGGTTTATACATCTGAAACGGTTTCACATGGTTCATTGCAAACACATTTCATTTTAATTATTTTGCATTTATTTTAATGTGTTAAAAAATAATGTCACAATCAAACAGGATTTCACTGACACTTTTGCCTCAAATGAGGCTATTTTCTTTCTTTTTTTTTTTTTAAAGAATAGTCAATTGAAAGAAATATATTAAATTAGTCATTGTTATGGAATATAAAGGAGCTGTGGTGGAGTAGTGAGTAGGGCATTTGGCTGCTCCCAGGTCAGCGGTTCAAACCCACCAGCTGCTCCGTGGGAAGAAGATGAGGCAATCTACTTCTGTAAAGATTTGCAGCCTGGGAAACCTGATAGTAGTCGCTATGAGTCAGAATCAACTCGATGGCAGTGAGAGTGAATGTGGGAATATGGCCAGAAAAAAAGATGATGGTATACATAAGGCAAAAGTTTGGGGACTGTTGATCTAGGTTTATTTGCCTTTTTTTTTTTTTTTTTAAATTAAGATAAAATTCACATTACTAAAGTTGACCATTTTAAAGTGTACAAATCAGTGGCGTTTAGTACATTCACAGTTTTGAGCAACCAACACCTCTATCTAGTTGCAAAACATTTTCATCATCACAAAAGAAAAACCACATGCTTGTTAGGCAATGAGAAGCCCTGGTGGCACAGTGGGTAAAGCATTCAGCTGGTAGCCAAAAGGCCGTTGTTGGACCCACTAGCTGCTCCCTGGGAGAAAGATGGAGCAATCGGCTTCTGTAAAGATTACAGCCTTGGGAGTGCTGCGGGCAGTTCTGCTGTGGCCTGTAGGGTCACTATGAGTTAGAATCAACAAGACAGCAGTGGGTCGGGTTCATTAGTCAGTGGGTCCTCACTGGCCCTGCTCCCAGCCCCTGACAGCCCCTAATCTGTTTTCTGTCTCTCTAGATTTACTTCTCCAGACATTGGGGCTTTTTGTGTCTGACCTCCTTCATCATGTTTTTGAGGTTCATCCACGTAGCGTTCTTTTTTTTTTTTTAACAGCTGAATAATATTCCACTGTATGAACACAGCCTGTCTTGTTTATCCATTCAGCAGTTGATGGGCATCTGGGTTGTGTCTACCTTTTGGCTGTTGGGAATAGCGGTTTGTGCTGCTTCTGAAGCTCTGAAATGGCAAGGCCTGCACTTACCAGCATTGTGCTGCGCCCCACACCCACTGTTACAGTGCTCGGACTTGAAATATTTGTGGAATAAGTGAAATTTCCAATTTGGTTGCTTATTAAGAAAACATAGGGCAAAGGGTAAATGAGTAACATGTATGAGAAATAAAATTGTTTTCAACACTATAGCAAAAGAGCTAGAAGGGAGGCTATGGTAACAATATAGTGCTGCATCTGAAGCCAGAATGCCAGGGTTCAAATCTCAGCATTGCCACTCACTTGCTTGGGCAAATTACATGAACCTCCACATACCTTGGTTTGCCTCTCTGTAAACTGAAGAATATAAACCCTACCTCACAGGATTGCTGTGAGGATTAAATGAGTTAAATATGTAAGCACTTAGTGCCTAAGGCATTTGAGTGCTAACCAGAAGGCTGGCAGTTCAGACACACCAGCCACTCCCCGGAAGGAAGACTGGGCAGTCTACTTCCATAAAGATACCACCCTGGTAACCCAAGGAGGGGTCGCTATGAGTCGGAAATGACTCGACAGCAGTGAGTTTGGTTTGGGTTTTTTGTCATGTTATAAGCATTGCATGAATATAAGCATTGTGATTGTTTGCTATTTTTTTTTGGTCTTCTGTTTATTAATTTTATTGATTACTCATCAAATGGTTGTTGAAATTCAAAAGTAAACTTACACATTTGAAAATTGACTATTCACTAATTATGAACTTGAGTTTATGACAGGTTCAGAAGTACCTCCTTTGAATGATTGTAAGCACTTGAAAGTCATTTTGGTGCCATTTCCTTTAAAATAATCCTGTGGCCTCACTTGGCCTTGCCTTTACTTACTCTGAGTGATTTTCTCTGTGGATGCTTTTTCTAGATTTTTCTTACACTGTGCATCTTCAGACCTGAGAGGCCTCAAATATTTTTCCTTTATGATGTCTGCTCTGTATTCCTGTTAAAATCTATGCTCTTTTTCAAAATCTTTTCTCTTGCTCTTATGAGGCTGCTTATATTTTAGTGTCTGGCTTTGATGTACACTGGTTCTGATGGTTCTGATGTACGCTGTATATTCACACGCTGCACGTTCATAAGAAAGCTGTTTCCGCTTAAAAAGCAGATGTGTTTGTACCTTATGTGAATCAATAGTCACGTGCACCTTTGCGGAAAGGGGAAAAAGAGAAACCGCTTTTTGGACTTGTTTTTTCACTGGAACAAACTGGATTTCTAGAGGACTTCTCAGCAAATATGTGTGGTGTTTTTGTTTTTTTTTTTTTCTTTCAATTCCACAGTAATCTGAAGTTTCTTTACCAGAAAACATTAAAATGTGCATAATTATGGGACAAAATGTCAAGCAGTCAATTTAATTTGCTGATGACTACATGGAATTAATGTTTCGCAACAGTCCCGGAGTTTGCAATGTGAATTAGCAGGGGGAAGGTAATGTTTTGTTGACAGAAACTGCTGATTGCTTGTTTGGCTTGTGTTCCGGCTGCAGGTGGATTTTGCCTTCACAGTGTGGCAGAGCTTCCCTGAGAGGATTGTGGGGTACCCTGCGCGCAGCCATTTCTGGGATAACTCTAAAGAACGGTGGGGCTACACATCCAAGTGGACGAATGACTACTCCATGGTGTTGACAGGAGCTGCTATTTACCACAAGTGAGGAAACTGGATGTGTCTCTTTTAGGTCTTCTGTTGGTGGTGGTCTTTGTGGCCATCAAATCGATTCTGAGTTATGATGACCATATATTTTACAGAGTAGAACTGCTCCATAGAGTTTCCTGGGCTATAATCTAAATGATCAAGAGCCCAGTTGGTGCAATGGTTAAGTGCTTGGCCGCTAACAGAAAGATTGGCAATTCGAACCCACCAGCCACTCCATAGAAGATGTGGCAGTCTGCTTCTGTAAAGATTACAGGCTTGGAAACTGTGGAACAGTTCTGCTCTGTCCTATAAGGTCACTATGAGTCAGAATTGACATGACAGCAAGGGGTTTGGGTTTTGTTGTTGTTTAATCTGAACTGAAGCAAATTGCCAGGGCTTTTCTTCCACAGCACTGCTGAGTGGATTCAAACCTCTATGTTAGTAGTCAAGTGTAAACCATTGTACCACTTGGGACCTCAGATCTTATATAGCTTCTCATATTAGTTCTTGCTGCTGTTGCCCATTTCCTTAGACCATATCTTGTCAATGGCACTAATAAAAATTAGTTTGCATCTCTATATAAGTTTTGGTGATGGGGCACACATGTTCCTTTGAAACTCATAAAACCACTTAGCCTACTGAGTATCCAGAAGTTATGGTAGAGTAATAGATTTAATTAGTCTGGACGCCAGCAATGGGTTTTCTTGCATAACTGAATATTTAGACTAATAATAATGAGAAGAAGAAGAAGAAGAAAATACTTAATTGAGCATCCAGCAGGCACTGTTCTAGATAATTGGGATTCACCATTAAATAAGACAGAAAAAGTTCCTCACTTATGTGGCTCTTCATTCCAACAAAGGGGAGACACATGATACATGATAATCCTACAGTATGTTAGAAGGACAGTCCCTGGTGGTGCAAATGGTTAATTGTCCTCAGCTACTCATTCAGAGGCTGGAGGTTCGTATTCACCCAGAGAGACCCAGGTAAAAACTGATGAGCTACTTCTGAAAAATTAAAACCCTGTTAAAAACTCTATGGAGCACAGTCCTCCACTGACACCCACGGTATCACCATGAGTTGGAGTTGACTCCATGACAACTTTTGTTTCTTTTTTTAATGTTAGGAAGAGGGAAGTGATATAACAACAACAAAAAAAAAAAAGTAGAGCAGGTTAAGGGATCAGGGGTCTCTAAAGCAGAGTAGGGGGCAGGCTGGAGCATGATCAAGATGATGCTCATTGAGTGGGTGAGATTCAAGCAGAGAATTGAAGGAAGGGAGAGATTGAGCCAAGAGGATACCTGCAGAAAGGGTGTTCTGACATGGGAAACAGCTGGAATAAGTGCCTTGAGTCAGAATGTTGGAGGAATGTCAAGAAGAGCAGTGTGACTACAGTGCAGTGAACAGAACAGAGATGAGGAGGTATGGAAGCCATGATGCCGATCCTTGCTGTCTGCTGTGGGGACTTCACTCTGAGTGACATGAGAGCCAGTGCAGGGGTTTGAGCAGAGCAGAGATACCTGGCTTATGTTTTTGGTGTCCCCTCTGGACACCATGTTGAGAACAGACTCTCTAAACAGGCTTCAGTAGAAGCAGGGAGACCTATTAGAAGGTCGTTGACATTATGTAGGCAAGAGATGATGGCACCTGGGACCAGAATGTGAGTAATGGAGGTGATAAGTAGTGGTCAGCTTATGGACTTATTTAAAGATTGTACCAACCTGATGTCCTGACAGACCAAATGTAAGATTGATGACCCATGTTTTCTGACCTGACGAACTTGAATGTAGAGATGCAGAAGGCTGTGGGTGAAATAGGCACTGTGGGAAAATCCAGGCATTCTGTCTTAGACCTGCTAAGACATCCAAAAGAATATGTTGAGAGTGGTCAGGAGATAGAAATTTGGGAGTTGTTTACATATATTTAGTGTCTAAAGCCATGGCACTGGGATAAGATTGCCACACTAGTGAGTGTAGAGTGACTGGCATTTCCAACTCAACCCTTAATGGAAATCAACTTTCTCCTGCCTTAGTAAGGCAGAAACATCAATGTTAATGTAGTCTTGTATTTTATTTTTTAGTAAAGCATAGACTGTCTTGCCATTTCAGGGGTAGCGTTGGATGGAAATACACACAGTTGAAGCATTTAGGCTAATTGAAATCTTAAGATTTCACCTCTTGAAAGTGTTTTTACCTCCTGCTCCTCCCCTCAATGTATCTCATTCATTTTAATGATTTTCTTTCTTTTAAGTATATGGTGTATGTCCCTCCAAAGAAAAAGTCAAGTGAGAAATAATTTAAATTAATTGAGGGGTCTCTAGCATGATTGACCACGAGATTAATTAGGGTTTTACTCTAACAAATTATATGAAATGTATGCTTTAAAAGCCACATAAATAAAACAGTATTTTCTTGGACTCTGGGTCAAGAAATAGTAATGAATATAGCTCTGATCAAGCCAATAATTAAAATTATAAAGCCACTTTGTAATGATCCATAGATCATATGTAAATCACTTTCTCTTGATGTCTGAAGTGCTCAGTTTCTCCTTGTAATGGACTAGCCTAGTACTAAAATTAGATACTAGAATTAGGCTGGGCAAGCAGTAGGGGCTGAGTTATGTAATTTATGGATATCTTTGCCTTCTTTCCTCATCTGTAAAATAGGATAATAGTAGTACCTACTTCTTAGGTTTGTTGTGAAGATTAGATAAGGCATTTTATGTCAATCATGTAGGACATTATTTGACATGTAGTTAATACTGTTTAAGTGATACCTGTATTCATCATCATCATCAAGAAAGGGGTATATGTTTCTGTCAAAGAAGACATTTGTCATTATGCAGTCATGGTCCACTGAGAGACCTGTCTGTGCTTTTTATAGATATTATCACTACCTGTACACCCATTACCTGCCAGCCAGCCTAAAGAACATGGTGGACCAGTTGGCCAATTGTGAGGACATTCTCATGAATTTCCTAGTGTCCGCTGTGACAAAATTGCCTCCAATCAAAGTGACCCAGAAGAAGCAGTATAAGGAGACAATGATGGGACAGGTAAAACGGAAGAAACCGCTCCTCGTTTTTTTGCTCACTGGTGGTTCATTGTCACCCTGAGGTGATCAGGACTCAGCGGTCCTGGAGGTGCTCTTCATGGAAGCTAATGGGGTGCTATCAGGAATAAACCACATGGAAGAGCTCTCAGGGAGTGTTAATAGTTGGCACATGGATAATTGGGAAAGCATAAGTCAAAGGTGTCTTTATGTCAGAAATACAAAGTTCTCATACATCCCACAGGGTGACATGAGAAAGGCAAATATTCTCCAGAATTAAAGACCTACAAAAAATTTATGCAAGTTGATTGATTGTAGGTGTTTTATTTAATGAATCGCTAATAATACTCTCTCCAGCACAGCTCTCTGGTGGTTTTCGTGAGTTGGATGAGCATCGTGGTGGTTAAGGAGGAGTCACAATGCTTGACTTTCCATTTCAGGACCAGCGTTTATAAGCCGTAGGGAAGTTAGTTACCTTCTGAAACTCAGTTCGCTCATCTTTAAAATGCAAATGGCGAAATCTCTCCCACAGGGTTCAGGTAACATAAATGAAAGCTTTTAGAGAAATAAAGTAAAATTTTGAATTGAATCACAAAACTTGAGCACTAAAGATACTTCACAGGATATATAATCCAACTTTCTCATTTTATAAGTAAAAACCCACGACCCAGAGAGTTTAACTCTATTGCCAAAAACTACACAGTAAGTTAGAGAGACAGGTCTGGGGTTGTTCGTTCCAGTACCCATTCTCTTACACCCCAGGGTCCTGATATCACGTCCATCTGGATATGCTAAAGGTCCTTATATATTTATTCCTCTTGGCCAGAGCCCAGTATTGTAAGTAAGAAAACAAAATCTTAAGTAAGACCATTGAGACCTATGCAAGTTCAATCCTGTAGCACCCAAAGGATCTAAGTCATCTGAAAGGACACTTTAACCTGGTTATGTCAGTGCAGTTGTTTAGGGTTTTCCATGCACTTTGTTCAAACAGGGAGTCTCTGAGTGACGCAGATGCTCAGCTGCTAAACAGAAGGTTGGCAGTTTGAGTCCACCCAAAGGTGACTTGGAAGAAAAGCCTGCCAGTCTCCTTCCAAAAACTCAGCCACTGAAAGCCCCATGGGGCACACAGCTCTGCTCTGACAATGGGGACGCCATGAGTCAAAATTGACTTGACAGCAGCTAATGCTTTTTGTTTCATTGTTGTTCTTCTAACAGGTATTGAACCTCATGTACAAATCGTGCCTGTGCAGAGGAAAAGTTAGCTAGGCCTTTTGTTGCCACATAAATGGTTTTAATTTACCAAATTTAATATTTTAAAAATTGACAGAATTTGAAACTTAGAGAATTTAGTCAGTTATTCAGTATTTACTGAGCATGTGCAGTTTATCAGGAGCCTTGGTGATACAGTAGTTAAGTGCTTGTCTGCTAACTGGAAGGTCAGTGGTTGGAACCCACAAGGCACTCCACAAAAGAAAAAAGTGGCAGTCTGCTTCTGTAAAACCCTCTGGGCCAGTACTACTCTGTGCTGTCGGTCACTCTGAGTCAGAATGAACCCAGTGACGATGGGCTTCGATTTATGGGTACAGTTTATCAGGTACTGTACTAGGTGGTAGTTAGGATAAAGGAGCCATTCTTTGTGAGCTTCAAGCCTATTTCAAACTCTTTTTCATTCTTACCTCTGAAAGAACTGCTGAGAGGGTTGCCAGAAGTTTTGATCTTTGTAGCTGAAATAGTTCAAATTCAAATGAGATGTATTGAATGTCTACCAGGTGCCAAGGATTTTCATAAATGTTATCTCATTTAGGAATACAGCATTGCTTTAATATTATTTGCCCTGACAGTTCTAGGAACTTCTTTGAAGTCATACATTGGTTAGGGTGGAATGTTTTAATACATGATTTCTTAGGACTTGGTTTTGTGTTCTTTTCATGGATTTGCCATTTTTACCAAATAATATCTAGTAATTTTACAATATGGGCACAGGGTAGGGAGCAAATCTAAATTTAACTTTATATCTGATTAGATTTGTCTGGCCACTGTATTTGCCCCTCCTTCTCATGTTAGTTTATTGAATGTTTGTGTGGCTGATGGAGTAAGTAGATATCATTCCCTAAGATTATGTTTTTACTACATGGAAAAGACATTTTCTCCAATACATATTGGTTGTCCTAGAATAAATGGTAAAATCTAGAAGCAAAAAAGATAATTGAATTAATGATTCAAGTAGACTTTTTTTTTTACTTTTTAATTTGTGAGTGAGAATAAGAATAAGTTTATAGACTATAGAAACAATGGCCTCATCTACCCTGAGACCTGAAGAACTAGATGGTGTTTGGCTGCTACAACTGACCATGACCATTCTAATCAAGGCCACAGTAGATGGACTCTGATAAAAGAGGAGAAAAATGTGGAGCAATGACCTCAAATTCCTTAAAAAAAAAAAAAAAAAAAAACAGCCAGACTTACTAGTCTGAACTCAGACTAGATGATTCTCTGAGACTACTGTGCAGTGATTCTCACTGAAGGTTGAGACAAAACTAACCCCGGAGGTCACTTTGTAACTAAATAACAAATTGGCTCAAAAAATAATTAATATCACCTGTAAGTACTGCACTCCTTTAAAAAAAAAAATCATCTATATGAGACCAAATGATCAACCATGATGTTAAAACATAGATGAGAATAGGGGATAGGGAAACTAGATTAATGGAAATGGAACAACCAGACCACAGATAATGAGCCTTTTCTCAAGAATGTAACCAATGCCACTGAATAACTTGTATAGAAATTGTTGAATGGGAACCTAAACTGCTGTGTAAACCTTCACCAAAAACACAAAATCTTACGGGAAAGTAAATAAATAAAATAACAAGGGGAAAAATAAAGAATGAGCTTAAGCTCTTGACTGAATTTTCATTTGTATATGGGAGCACTTCCCATAGTGTGGTGGTCTGGCCATTTGGAATGACTGGAATAATCAGAAATGGCCTGCAAGCCATTGAAAATTTGGATATCTTTGAAACTTGAGATGACTTTGAGACTGCCTATTCTGATTTGAACTCAAACTGCAGCTTAATTTGATACCTTGGTCTATTTTCCAAGCAGAGTTCTCCTAGTAGAAATGGTAAAGAATGGAGCCCAAGTTCTGCCCCTTTCTAGCCTTGAAGCAATTGTTTCAGCTTCCCTGAAGCTGTTTTCTCATCTGTCAAATGGGGATATTATTACATGGCTGGATCATCAGGTTGTAGTGAGACTCAAATGAGCTCCACGAAAACACTTCACAAGAAGTGTTTTGTTTGTTATTCTGCTGTTCAGAGCTAACTTGACATTTGTATTTACCTTCAACATTATTTCCAAGCATGTTGACACTTCAGGTGGTTTCAAAGTGACTCTGAGTGACTCTCCAAGTAAAATGTACGTTCCTATAAAAGCATGAATGGCTGAGGCCAGAAACACATAGCAAACACACACACACACGTCATTAAAGAGTTGCTTATTAACATAAATGAATTTGTGATTTTTTTCCCATCACTAGGCAGCCCACCTTTTCATTGCTTCATCTAAACATTGCTTTAAAGATATTTTGCTTGGATTTTTTTTTTTTTTTTTTTAATCACATTTTGTGAAATCTTTGCTTCTAGAGTTTTTTTTTTTTTTTTTTTTTTTTTTTTTTTTTTTAATCACACCTGTCATTGAACCCTTCTTTCTAGATCAGTGCCTATTATTTACATGTTCTAAACGTATTTAACCCTAGAGCAGCATACAGCGCTAAGGGGATGGCAGCCATCTCTTCTCCATGCCCATAATAAGTCTCTATTCCAGTCTGGAAAAGCAGTGACTCTTCATAGGATTGATTAGTTTTCAAAAAATAAACTTTGGGCAGTTTAGTGGAGTAGGAAATAACAATCTTTGGGTTAAGAGCAGAATCTTGAGATTGAAGTCCATATATACCACTGAATCTATCCCCTTATACTTTGTGTGGTCATTTCAATGGAGAAGTCCACAGAAGGTAAAATCGATTTTTAGATTCTGTATAACACTAGCCTTGAATGAAATAGGAGTTTGTTTTGTTCTTTTTCAACTATACCTGTGGTTTTTTTTTAAAAAGGATTCAAAAGTAGAAGAAAGAAGGGAAGGGGTAGGTGGATGGATGATAGATAGATAGACAGACAGACAGATTTATTTTCAAAAGTTAGTTCTTGATATCCCCAAACCAACCACATAAACACAAAGATACTAAAAAACTAAAGCCACAAACACATTGATGGTCATATTACTTTATCCCAGATACAAAGGGGAGTTTCATATTTAATGACCATAGGGATTGGGATTCAGTTGTTTACTTATTCACCTACAGTTTCAGAGAATTAGTCACTCAATATGATCCTTAGTTTCTTTCTTGTTGTTAACATTGAAAAATATTGGAAATACTATGCAACATTAAAGAATAATGAAGAATCAGTGAATCACCTCATAACATGAATGAACTTGGAGGACATTATGCTGAGTGAAATAAACCAGTCGCCGAAGGACAAATAGTATGAGTCTGTTATCATAAACAGTCAAGGAAAGGTTTACACAGGGAAGGAATTTTTCTTTGTTGGTTACCAGGGATGGGAGGGAAAATTAGATGGATAATTAAGAGACAGGTTTGATATGGGTAAAGGGAAACACAATTTACCAGAAACATGTGACTAGCACAATATCACCAAGGAAAAAGAAGACTCAGAGAGGTGTACAAGAGGTATTATAAACAGTAATTACAAATACTGTTACAGACACAATACTTCATTATCAGTGACAGCAAACATTATTCTGTGGGTAGATACATAGGAAGAAAGGCATGGATGGGCAAATGGAAGTATACCCATGACCATATGTAGGTTTGCCAGACAAAGGAAAGTAAAGAGAAGCCAATGTTGGAAATATGGGAAAATCCTTCCTGGCCAACTGAGAACCAGGGTTGGTGTTTACATTTTCACCAGGCGCGTGGATGGTGAGGTTCGGGGCCAAGCCAGACCCCAAGCTCTGCTGCTCGCCCTTCACCTGCCTCAGTTCTCTGCAGTGTCTCCATCTCACCGTGCACTTCTCTCATTACCTCCCTGTTTCTCTCCTTTCCCTAGACTTCTCGGGCTTCCCGCTGGGCTGACCCTGACCACTTTGCCCAGCGCCAGAGCTGCATGAATACGTTTGCCAGCTGGTTTGGCTACATGCCGCTGATGCACTCTCAGATGAGGCTTGACCCCGTCCTCTTTAAAGACCAAGTCTCTATTCTGAGGAAGAAATACCGAGACATTGAGCGACTTTGAGGAATCCGGCCAAGTAGGGGAAGGGAAGCGAGAAGGGACGGGGTCAAGCTGCTCTCTCTTCCCAGTGCAGATCCACTCATTCGTGGAGCCACATTGTGCCAAGCATCCAAATAAACGTCAATGAACAGAATGACAAAAAAAAAAAAGGCCAATGAGAACTCGACTCCTGGCTCCTGGGGCTGCACGGAACGGCTCCAGCTCACCTCACTGGCTTCTGTGTCCCAAGACTAGGCTGTGTACAGTTTAATTATGGAACATTAAATAATTATTTTTGAAATGATTGCTATGCAGGTTTAAACTTTTTTAATGATCAAAACTATTAAAAACCAGAGTTCTTTCTTTAATCAAAATTGTGTTGGTTGTAAATACTTCAGAGCTTCTGCTTCTCTTCCCACAAACATAATTGCCACTGGTCACCTAGGGTTCCCTGCACAGTTGCCAAAGTCCAGACTTCATGGAAAACACAGCTAAGTCACCTTAGCCACCATCAGAAAATAACCCAACAGAGGTTAAGACAAGTTCAGTATTGGACTCGGCCAGGGCAAGTTATTTTCCACTTTGAGTTTGCAAGTCGACTTTACCTTTCATCTCTAAAATGTTGCTGCATGAGAGGAAGAAGTGTATGACTTCCAGATAGGCAGTTCTTACTGAAAACTTCATGTTTGAAATACCTGATAATCATTTTCACTGGGAGAGAGGAGTTAGTACCAAGGAAATGCTAAAATAATTGAGGAATATTTAGTTTGTACAAGGGACCATCTGAACACCCTACCAGCCAATTACTGACATGAGACGACTCACCCACAACAGTAACCTGCTGTTTTCAGGTGAGTTCTAGATTAGAGAGTCAACAGTTAATACATGTATGGTTATAGCTGGGGAAAGATTTGGGTTTAAAGGCAAAGGAAGAGTGAATGTATATGGGAAAACACATTATTTATGAGACAAACTCTATAATGTTTGTGAAAACCTCAAGTTCCAGAAGCTTCTCTACTGAAAAAGAATTTATAAATCCTCACCATTGAACAAGAGGATCACTGTGAATTAACGGAGGGTGGGCCTCACTACTGGGCCCCAGTATAATTTTTGGTCAAACACTGCTTCAAGCAAAAATCTGCCAAAATAATCAGAAACAAATGTGAATATTGTATTATTTAGTTTGAATTTCTAAATCAGTCGAGAAATTTAGTTGTGCCCCTTGGAAGTTGGCAGAGTGTTAGAAAGAATTTCTAACCATGCAAACAGTATCTTGAGCTTCTGAATATTTCTTACTACTTACAAACTGCATTATAAGTACAAAGTGAAAAAGAAAAAAAAAAAAAAAATGTATCCCATAACTCCATTGTGAATGATGGAGCCTTCTGATAGAAAATGCTTTCTTTTACTTGAAAGAGTTGAGAGAAAAGAGACATTATTGAGTCCTACCACCTATTATACTGAATAAACAATAAGCACTTTAATCGTTCTCCCCAAACTCTCATGCATCTCAAATTTATTCCCAATTTGTTTTAGAAGAAAATTCTATCACAGAATTATGTACAGACACTAAGTCAGTGGAAACTATAAATGCAGCAGACTGAAACTCATAGGTTGTAGACATTCAGTGCCAGTGCTGGGAGGGCACTGGAAGCAGGAAGGGAAAGAGGCGTTTGTAGAGGTCCAGAGAGATGACGGGATGTGCTATGGAGCCCCATGGTGACAGAGCAGGGGCCAGACCCCATCCATCCAGACACTGTGATGTGGGTGGTTCAATAAAGGAGGGACTTTTGTTATAGCCTCATAACTCAGAGCAAGTCCTTAATGTCTCTCTGAATAGGACCCATCCTTAGCTGAGTCTCAAACATGATAATTCCCCTAAGTGAATGTGATTCTCTCACATATTTGATGAAAAGTAGTTCTTAGGTATTTGCGCTTGTTCTTTGTACAAAATGTTCAGTCTAATAGGTTTCATGCCATTTAAGCATCAGCTGTCAGTGATTTGATTTGAAGGGTTAGCAATTAATCCTCATGAATCTGGCCTTTGCAAATTTGTATTTAAATTAATTTTCAGATTTAGCAAATTATTCTTGTATTTTTCTCCTTTACAAAAAGGAATGCAGTGTTTTGTTCAGTGACCCCAAGCCAACTTGAACTTAATGTTGTCATCTTGGCTTGCAGAGCAACGTCCCTGATTGGACCAGCCAGTCACATGAGTAGATTCAGGAGCTTGTTTGCCTGATCTACCCGACACAAAGATGAAGGGGCACATATTTGACACAGAGTCTGTTACTTGCAAAAGATGTTTATAGTTACCATCAAACCGATTCCAACTTGAGAGCCTATGTTCAACAGAATGACATACTAGCTGTCATTCCCACAATGACAGCTGGCTGTACCATTCCCACAACTGTTGCTACTTTTGAGCCCATTGTTGCAATGACTGTGTCAGTCCATCTCATTGAGGGTCTTTCTCTTTTTCACTGACCCTCTTCTTTATGGAGCGTGATATCCTTTTCCATGCACTGGTCCCTCCTGATTATATGTCCAAAGTATTGGAGATGAAGTCTTGCCATCTGAAGATGCATCTAAGAAGCATTCTCGTTGTACTATTTCTGTTCATTCTTCTGGCAGTCCATGGTATATTCAAGATTCTTGGCCAACATCATACTTCAAAGGCACCAATTGTTCTTCAGTCTTCCTTATTCATTTTTCAGCTCTCACATGCATATGAGACAATTGAATATACCATGGCTTGGGTCAGACACTCCTTAGTCTTTAAAGTGACATCTTTGCTTTTAAACACTTTAAAGAGGTGTTCTGCAGCAGATTTGCCCAATGCAATATGAGGTTTGATTTCTTGACTGCTGCTTCCATGGACATTGATTGTGGATCCAGGTAAAATGAAATCCTTGATGTTTTGGTTACCTAGTGCCACTCTAACAGAAGATACCACAAATGGGATGCTTGAACAAACAGGAGTTTATTCTCTTAGAGTTTTGGAGGCTAGAAGTCTGAGTTCAAAGTGCCAGGCTCTAGGGGCCCCTCGACCTTGAGCTTCAGCCCACTGAAGCTAGAGGCATCTCTTCGCTGAGTCAGCTGCCAGCTACTGAGGCTGATAAACCCAAGGTCAGCAAGTAAAAAGCAGTCCCAATATTACCAAACCACATGGCAGGCCATTGATTCAAGTCCATTGAAAGTTCCAAGATCAGCAGAGCATGGCAGGCTTCTGCACAACAACTTGGCTACATGCAGGGTTCAAGCATGCCATAAGCTGGAGACTTCCTCAAAGTTGCTTCTTACGCGCTGGAAGCAGATCACATCCCTAAAGCAGCTACTCAGCTGCTCCAATAGATTCCACCATGGAGTTAATTACCAGTCTCACCATGGGAAATAACTACAGCCAGCTGCCCAGCCACTCAACAAGGCCCAGACAAGTTGACACACAAACTTAACTACCACATTTTTCTCCATTTTTCATGATACTGCCTTTTGGTCCCGTTGTGAGGATTTTTGTTTTATGTTGATGTGTAATCCATACTGAAGGCTGTATGTAGCCTTTTATCTTCATTAGTAAGTGCTCCATGTCCTCTTTGCTTTGACCAAGCAAGGTTGCGTCATTTGCATATCACAGGTTCTTAATGAGTCTGCCTCCAATCCTAATGCCACATTCTTCTTCATATAGCCCAGCTTCTTGGATTATTTGCTCAATATACAGGCTGATTAAGTACAGTGAAAGAATATAACCCTGTCACACACCTTTCCTGATTTTAAACCATGCAGTATCCCCTTATTCTTTTCAAATGACTGGCTCTTGGTCTATGTACAGGTTGCACATGAACATAATTAAGTGTTCTGGAATTGTCATCTTTCTGTGTTACCCATAATTCGCTATGATCCACACAGTAAAGTGCCTTTGCATAGTCAATAAAACCCAGGTAAATATCTTGCTGGTATTCTTTGCTTCCAGCCAAGAACCATCTGATCATAAATCAGAACAAGATCTGAACATTTTTCAACCACTTCAAATTGCCTTGGTTTCATGTTGTGTCATTTTCTGAGTAAATCTCTTTGGGATGCTCACTAACATGTTCTTTTCTCATTTGGATCGTACAGCTGGGAATTGAACAATGCTTAGCTAATCAGTGAGGCCCAACAGTAAAATGTAATTTAATTCACTTAGGAAAGAGTTGTATTTCACTGCAACAAGTTTACAAATCATAGCCATCTCCGTAGGAAGTAGGGAGTTATCTCTCAGCCAACTTTAATGATAACCAGGGGTTCCTAACTGGACAAACATGTGCTGAGCTGGTAAGAAGCCAACAGCAGAGAGTGTGGTGCCAACCACGTAGTAAATTACATGCACAAACTCCACAGAGGGCTTGGACATTTAGGATTTCCACGGTCTTTTTTTCCTATTCTCATTAGGACACTTGATGTTAAAAACAGTTTTTGAAAGCTGACTTATTTAAGTATTTATACAAAGAGTCTTATAAATATCAAACCAAGCTTATATGGACATCAAACAGATCATCTTTATTGAGACTAATAAAATGGCTTCAAATTGAGAATGTAGAGAAAATCCATGACACAATGACTATGCTCATATCCCAAACAATAACACAGAAGGCGGGCCTCCCTGAGCATCTCTGCATGTGTGGGGATGAGGCTCTCTGAAAGAAAGTAAGATCTTGGACCTGAAGCTTCTGTGCATTGCACTTTAATTTCTAATTGTTACAAACAGTGCTCAAAACAAGGATCATTCCTGGTCACTTCCTTCAGTTTTCCTTTTGGAGAGAATTTTTTCCTCTATTAAAGTAGGTTACATTAGCCTTTATTTTTGCGGTTTCAGAATACCTGGTGACTTGAAAGAATAAAACATTCTGACCTTTCATAAAGGTTACTGATTTTTCATTTAATCAGGGGTGAGATTAGTGAATGCCTACATAGGTAGGATACTTGATTTAAGAGCTAATGAAATTTTAATCAAACCTGTTTACAGGATGGGAGCTCTGGTGGCATAG